TGCCTTAAAAAGAAATACAGATAGGGCCGGGGATTTAGCTCAGTGGTTCTGCCACCTGCCTTGCAAGTGCAAGGTATCGAGTTCAATCCCTGGTACTAAAGCACATTCCTGCACAATGTTTATTTTGAAGAAGGGAAAAGAATATATCGATCCCTGGTACCAAAAAAAAAAAAAAAAAAGAAAAGAAATAGAGCATTACCGAGCATTCACATAGCTCCTGGTTTGATCCTCAGCACTGAGACAGACAAACAAACAAAGAAACCAAACCAGTCTCCTGTGGCTCCCCAGTGCCCTAAGGAGAAGCCCACGCCCCTGCCACGGGGTTCCAGGCCTGTGTGGCCTTCTCCCTAGTGACCTCTCCCAGGACTCACCGTCCTCCTCCCCACCCAAGGAATGAACTGTCCGCCACCTTCCTTCCTTTGTTTCCTGTTGAGCACCCATCCCAGAGGCCCTGCCCGAGCTTGGAGCTGGGGACACAGTATTGACCAAGACGGATCTGGCCCTGGGCTGCTGGGCTCCTGGGCCAGTGTGGGACACAGACCTGTCCCAGGATAGAGAGGACCCAGCGTGAGCAGGGCTGGGATGGGGGAGCACCCAGGGGGCCCCTAAGCCAGCCTAGCGGTCAGGGAGGGCTTTCTGGAGGAGGGCACACTGGGACTGAATCCTGTGGTCTGAAGAACACCCTTCTGCTTAGGACAGGCAAGCCGGGTGTGGTGCTGCACATCTGTGATCCCAGCACTCTGGGAGCCTGAGGCAGGAGGATCATGAGTTGAAGCCCAGCCTGGGCAATTTAGCGACTTAATGAGACCCCACCTCAAAATCAAAAATAAAAAGGGCTGGGGATGTGGCTCAGTGTGAAGGCCCTGGATTCAATCTCTAGCTGGGGTGGGTTTGGGGCGCAGAAACAGAGGAGGAGCCTGGAGGAGGAGGAGGAGGAGGAGGCAGTGGGATAGAACTGGTGAGCTGTGCAGCTCCCAGACTTCACAGGCTGTGATGAGAGATCAAGGGCACTAGGGAGCCATGGAAGGCTCGGGAGAGAGGGAGGAGCAATATTGAGGTTTTCAGAGGTGGGGGAAGGTGTCAAGACTGGAGGCTGGAAACCAGGGAGGAGTCTGAGGCAGGGACATAGGCAGGGGCTCAGTGTGGTGCAGGGGCCAGGAGAAGAGAGGCAAAAGGACCAAAGCTGGGGGAGAGAAACTTAGAGGTGGGATGCGCAGGGCTCGAGAAGCTGTGAGCCCTGGAGGGCAGGGACCAGGTCTGATCTAGTCACCGTGTGCCCAGTGCCTGAACAGACAGGGTGGGCCACAGACTTGAGTTTTTTGGTTTGTTTTCATTTTGGTAAAATACACATAGCAAAACCACCATTTCAAACAATCTGAAAGTGCGCGGTTCAGTGGCATTTAGCACATTCACAACGGTGCCAACCCACCAGCTCTATGTAATTCCAGAAAGCTTCATCTGAAAAGTGGGGATAATAAACTGAGTGTGACGGTGCACACCTGTAATCCCAGCACGCTGGGAGGCTGAGGCAGGAGAATTGAAAGTTCAAGCCCAGCTTGAGGAACTTCACGATTTATCGAGGCCTTGTCTCAAAACATAAAAAAGGGCTGGAGATGTAGCTCAAGGCAAAGGCCCTGAGTTCAATCCCCAGCACCACTAAAAAGGGGGGTGATAGTAGCCCCCTTGTAGGACTCTGCAGATTTTGGGGGTTACCAAGCGCTCAGGCCAGTGCCCTGGGTACAGGGCCATTGCCACCAAGGCCATCGATGGTCTTTCTTTCTCTTTCCCCAGGTGTCCACCTGTCGAAATGCCCACCCTGAAGAGCCTAGGGGTGACCGACCCTAAGGTGGCCCGGGCGGGGACCCTGCCCGTGAGGTCCTCTCGGAATCCCTTTGAGGAAGCTCCAGGGCTGGAGGAGGAGCCCGGGGAGCTGAGGCCCCTGCCCAATGGAACGTCGTCGTGTCACCGCCGTGCCGCCCTGGAGAAGCTGGTGGGCCTGGGCCCCTTCCGACTGGGCTGGACCCCAGGCCGACGGGCAGGCAGCCCTGGGGACGGGCAGCCCCGCTCTTTCCTGGGCCGAGTGCTGGGCCCGGGCATTCGGAGGAGCTCGGCAGACTTCGGCCTGCTGGCCCGGCTTCAGGGGACCCGGGCCCAAGGGGGCCAGGAGGCCGGGGACACGGCACAGAGGCTCGCCTTCCTGCGGCTGGGGCGGGGGCCCAAGTCCCGGCGCTCGTCCCTGGCAGAGAGGGTGGTGCCCGCGGGCGAGGCCGCTCCTGAGCCCCCACCCAAGGTCCCAGAGCCCCCGAAGATGAAGGAGCCACTGTCAGGTGAGTGAGGGTCCTGACCCAGGCCGGAGGGCTCAGAGCTGGCCCCTCCCCCACCAGGCAGCGCCAGCCTCCCCACTTCCTGTCCACCCTCCACCCGGGACCCTGTCTTCCTTCACTGTAGCTGTGCGTCCAACACCCAGCGAAACCCCAGCCTCACCCAAGCCTCCGAAAACCCTGCTCGGGTCTTGCCCCCTCCACGTCCCCGCCTGCCACACTCTTCCTCCCCAAGGCAAACGTGAGCCCATCCACGCCCAGCTCCCACTTTCAGCCCGCACCCCACCCCAAGTCCCTCTCAATCCTAGCCCCATTCCTGGCCTCCACCTTCAACTTCACCTCTAGGCTAGAGACCGCCCAGCCTGGTACCACCTGCTCGGGTTTCCTAGGCAGCCATGACAAAGGGCCACAAATGGGTGGCTTAGGACAGCAGAAGGTGTTGTCTCATGGCCTCAGCAACCTGAAAGAATCCGTCCCTCACTCCTCCTGCTTCTGCTGGCTTGCCAATCTCTTTCTTTCTTTCTTTCTTTCTTTCTTTCTTTCTTTCTTTCTTTCTTTCTCTCCTTCCTTCCTTCCTTCTTTCTTCCTTTCTTCCTTCTTTCTGGTTTTTTGAGACAGCATCTCACTATGTAGTTCAGGCTGGCCTAGAACGGATGGCACTCTCCTGCCTCAGCCTCCTGAGTGCTGGGATGACCAGAGTGTGCCACCATGCTTGGCTCACCAGCCAGCTTGGACACTCCTTGGCTCATCGATGAATCACTGATCTTTCATCTTTCCACGGCATTGTCCTAGTGTCTCTTCCTATCTGTGTGTGTCTGTCTCTGTGCCTCAATTTCCCCTTTTGATAAGGACGCCCGACTTACTAGATTAGGGCCTATGAGCCTACGACCTCTGTAAAGGCCCTATTTCCTACGAAGGTCACATTCTAAATATAGACTTCACGTATCTTTTTTGGGGGGACAGAGTCTAGCCCGCACCACCACCCCATCTCCACCCTTAACGCCATTCCGACCCCCGAACCTCGGGGTCCCCCCTTTCTGTCCCCACACCGTAGTAAGCAGGCCCGCGGTCTGTCTCTGTCCCGGGACACCGCGCCCCCTCCGCCATCTTTAGCTCATCTCTATGCCCGGCAGCCCCCTCTCATCTCCAATGCTGTCCTCCTCTTCGGCCTCACTCCTCACCCCCACCCAGGCGGACTCAGCACCCACCTTCTCCATGGCCCCTCCTGCTCCGACCCGAGGTCCTTCCCCAGCCTCCATCTCCACTGCGCCCCCAACTCGGCCTCTCTTCCTCTGCAGTCCACGCACCTCCACCCCCGTGGAAACCCTAACCCCATCCGCTCTCCCGTCCCAACTCCCAGAAGTCATCTTCAAGCTCCTGCCAATCTCAGCTCCTTCCTCCACTGTCGTGTAAACTCCTCTCCACCGAGGGTGCCACCCCACTGGGACCCCAACCCCAAAGCCCTCCTCAGTTCCCTTCTCCTCACCCAGCCCACCCCACCCCACCTCGCACCCACTGTCCCCGAAGCTCTAGGACCCCTCTGTCCTCTGATGCCCTCCACATCCTGGCCAGAGGCTATTTCAGCCCCTGCGCCCCCGGGGGACTGGGAGGGCACTTCGGGGAGGTGAGGAGGGGGTGACTGGAACCCCCGCCTTCTGGAAACGGATGGGCAGAAATAGCGCTGGCCAGGAAACAGTCTCTCTGCCAGGGAGGAAGCGGGGGGAGGTGTGAGGGTAACTCTGGGCCGCAGGACCCTCCTGCCTTGCTCTGGCCTCCCAAGCCCGAGTACCCCTTTCCGGGTCAGCCTGACCTCCCAGGGTGCCAGCTCCCTGCTGCCGCCTTCCCATCCCCAAGATCACATCTCTGGTCCCCTGCCCCTGCCCCTCGGCCCATCCCTGCCCTCGCCTGGCGCCGACCTCCTGCCTCACCCTCAGCCTCCACCGCCCCTCCCAGGCCGGCTCCCTGAACCCCCTCCTGAACCCTAACCCTTGGTCCCCAGCCCGGGCCGCATACCCTGCCTGCTCCCTGTCACCTCCTTGCCTGCTGCCCTCCCGGCCTCCACAGGTTCCTTCCCCAGCTCCCAAGCTCCTGTCCCCTCTCTTCCCCTCTCCTGGCACCCGACCCTCCTCATTCCTGGTCCCCTCCTGGACTCCTCCCTCCTCCTGCGCTCCCCCGCCCCGCTATGACCCCAACCGTGACCCCATCCGTGACCCTTCCACCCTGACCCCCCACTCCTCCTCTCGGGCTCCCCGCGCTGACTCCCGCCTCGCCCTGCAGTGCTGGAGATCCTGAGCCTGATCCAGCAGCGCGAGCTGGCGCGCGCCGACGAGCACATCCTGGAGCTGGAGGCCGAGGAGCTGGCGTCGTCTGGCGGCGGCGCCCCGGGGCCCCCCCAGGCCGAGGGCCGCCGGGCGCGTGACGTGGCGCTGCTGTACGAGGCACTGCAGCGCGAGCTGTGGGCGCTGGTGCGCGAGACGCTGGCAGGGCCCGGGCTGGGCGCGGGCGTAGGCGCGGGCGCCGTGGCGCAGCTGGGGCAGGTGCTGGTTCAGGAGGAGGCGGCCGACGGGCGCCGGGGCCCCGGGGCTGCCCGCAGGCTGCGCGCGCGCTGGGCCGAGGCGGTGGCCCGCGCGGCGCGCGAGCGCCTGGAAGCGGCGGCTCCCGGCGCGCCTGGGGGCCTGGCAGGGCAGCTGGAGGCGCTACGCGCGCGGCTGCTGGAGGACATGGCCGTGGTGCGCGGCCGTCTGACCCCTGCCTATCCCGCCGGTCTGGGCGCCTTCGGCGTCTACCTGCGCGGCTACCACGGCGCGCTGGCCGAGTGGCTGGGGGCCTCCGCCCGCCGCAGGCTGCCGCTGGCCGACCGCTACGCGCTGCTGCACTGGCACAACCAGGTGTACCCCAGGTGAGCTGGGACTGGAGCTGCCAGGTCGTTGAGCCCCCAGTCCCACCCTCAGGCTGGCTGGTGCAGGCCCCAGGGACCTTAGAACAGCTGGCCCTTGCCAGACCCCTGAATCCATTGACCTTAGGGTCACAAGCGCACAGGGGGTGGTCACAGCGGTGGCCACTCCCACCTTGCCAAACTGACCCCCTGGTATGAGAACCTCCGGAGTACACCAGGCCCAGAGCCTCTGCCCTACGGCACCTGCACTTCCGGGCTCTGAGCAGAGCCCACCCTCCACTTCCTAGGGCACCACGGATCCCCAGGCCTAGAACCTGGGCGTTAGCAGGTTCCACTTCTAGAATTGCAGGCACCTTGACCCTTCCAATCTTCCAGCCTTAGCACCACTTGCCCTTCCGGCCCTGGAACCCACTGGCCTCACTGATTCTTCCAGTTCTAAAATCTCAGTACCGCTGACCAGGGTAGTCCTGACAACTGTGTGTGTGGACCCATCCTGTCAAGACCTCGGGTCTCACATAACTAGGGTCTTCACCTCCACCTCCCGTCCTAGAGTGGCCTGTGCCCATGCTAGGACCTGTGCCCTGCTGACCCTCAGCCTTGGTGCTGTTGAGCCTTAGAATTCCAGAGTCCTTACCCTGCCCTGTCTCTAGATCCTAGGGCCTCAGTGCTGTTAATGCTTTCAATCTTAAAACTGTGGCTTTATTTTATTTTTATTTTTTATTTTTTGGTACCGGGGATTGAACTCAGGTCCTTGAGCTTTCAGGGCAGGCGGCAGAACCACTGAGCTAAATTCTGGGCCCTTTAAAACTGTGGCTTTATGATTCTTTCAACTCTAGAGCCTTAATGTCAGCGAGCCTTCAAATCCCACCCCGCAGCTTCCTCCCCTCTTTAGGTCCTAGCCCTTGATCTTGCTGGCCCTGCTAGTTTAAGAACTGCTGGACTGTGGACCCTTGGATGCTATAAGAGCAGCATCCAGAACCTCAGGTTCCTTGACCTCTCGGGGTTGGAATCTATGGCGCCTTTGAGCCCTAAAATATATCCTGTGGTGACTGGAGGAGGGGATATGGCGATTAGCTCCTCTCAGGTCACAGGCCCATTCCAGGGACAAGGGGCTGAGCCATAACCAAACCACACCTTGGTGGGTGAAGGGATGAGTGGTTCCTGCACCAAAGTCAGGATGCTGTTGCCAGGAAGACGCCAGCCCCGTAGAGCCATTCATGCACGCATATCATCGAGGCTGTCAGCCCATCCGGGAGAGGAGGGGGCAGGCCAGGGAGTTTGGACAGCTTCCTGGAGCTATGAGACACAGGTTGGGTCCCATTCATAAGGAGACGATGTTTCTGATGGACCAGATACCGGGAACAAAGCCTGGAGTGAGGGTGGACTGGGGCGGCACAGGGGTGCCCAGCCCAGGCATGCAGGGGGCAGAGGAGGGCCCCAAGGCAGAGGAGCAGAGGCAGAAGGGAGTGTCTATGTGGGGAAGCTGATCCCAGCAAGGCCCCGCTTGACCCCAAAGTCTTGCCCGAACACCATCCATCAGGTGACTTGGCTGGAAACTGGGGAGCAACCATTCCAAAGATTTCCTCCCAGATGAGCAAAGCTGGCCCTGAGGAAGGGAGTGCCCAGGGTGACAAACAGTGGGTGTGAGGGAAGGAGGATGCGTCCCATCCCCCAGGCCCCTGCTCACAGACCTCTCTGTCTTTTACCCCCACCCCCAGGGAGGTCCTAGGGCTGGTGGACATGGTGGCTCTGGAGAATGGGGAGCTGGGTCCCCTCCTGTCCCCCGGCACCCTGCGAGGTCTGGAGGATGAATGTGTCACAGATGTCAAGGTACTTGGGACTTAATATTGATGACTTGGGACTTGGAGGTGCTCTGTGTGTATGGGGGCTCACAGCAGACTTAGGGGGGCCTCTCTCCTCTTCACTATTTTCATGTCTCTTTCCCTGTGTGAGCTTCTGAGTTCTGTCCCAAGGCCAAAGCCATATCACCCCAGACTGATCACTTCTGTATCCCACATTGCACCCTGAGCATTTGCCCTTGGGGAGTAGGGGCACTTGGTCAAGGTCCCATATGCCAGGAGCCTTCAAGCCTCAGAGCAAGAGGAACTTGTCACAGACCTGCAGCTCAGGAGCCCAAGCACGCCCAGCACCAGCATCAAACCAGCTGTGTGCTCCTGTGAGGCTGAGAGTAAATGTGGTTAACAGCAGGCTGGGCACAGGTGCCCCTGAGCAGAATGGCGTGCTCCCCATGCCCAGCTTGGCTACAGTGCCATTTCGTAGCTGAGGGCCAGGCTTGCTGCAGCCACAGGAATTGGATCCTTGCAGCTCCAGAACCTGGAGAATCAAACATGTCTAGCTCAACTCACTTGCTGAACTGAAGGCCACTCATTGGGTCAGAGAATCAGAAACCTTTGCAATTCTTTAATCCCAGACTCTGACAATCTTGAACTAATCGCTCAGCAGAACCTAGGAGCAGAGTCTTAGCACCATCCAACAATGAAGCACAGACCCTTCAACTCGGTGGCTATTAGGCGGAGGAAGCTTCAAGCCCTAGACTCGGAATGGAAGGGCTGGGCAAGCTTGGGGGTTCGATCTCTCTCAGTAGCACCACCTTGCTTGTCATATTGGGCAGAATCCAGATCGCTTGGGGCTATGGAGGGAGGGGATCCTGGCAGGAGAAAGAGAGAAAGACCCCATGCAGGAGAAAGACCCCATGCAGGCCTGATGCCCATCTGCCTCCCGGCCCCCTCCAGGCTCAGACCCGGGCAGCCCTGCTTCGGGTGCTGCAGGAGGACGAGGAACACTGGGGGGACCTGGAGGACCGGCCTGGCAGCCTGGCCCAGGATGTGTGTGAGGTAGGAGGTGGAAGGAGGAAGGGGGACCTGCTGGACGTGGCGGGGCGGGACGGGAGAGCTGGACCTACCTCACCTCCTGTCCCGTTGACCCATGCAGCTGCTGGAAGACCACACGGAGCGAGCACCCCGCATCAGCCAGGAGTTAGGGGAGCGCATGGCACATTGCTGCCTGGGGGGGCTGGCGGAGTTCCTGCAGAGGTAGGGGGTGGGGCGGGGGGCCAGCCTGGGATTTGGGCATCAGAAGCTGGTGTCTGCCAGAGAGGGGAGTGGGCATCAGGTGAGGGTGACCAGGAGTCGGGCGTGAGGGTGACCAGGAGTCAGGCGTGAGGGTTCTGTATGGGGCTCACGTGCTGAGAGTCTGATCCCAGCCTGGGCAGTTTAGCAGCTTCCCAAGACCATCTCAAAATGAAAATGAAAAAGAAAAACAATTTAAAAAGGGCTAGGGATGGAGTTCAGTGCCAAAGGCCTTGGGTTCAACCTCCAGCACCAAAAACAAAAAAAAAAAAAAAAGAAAAGAAAAAAAATGGCCGAGGTGCAGTGGGAGGGATCAGGACCCCAGGCTGTGTGGGCCCTGCCACCTGCCTGGCTCCTCCCCCAGCTTCCAGCAGCGTGTAGAGCGATTCCACGAGAACCTGGGAATCCGAGAGCTGCCGCCTGACACCTACATCAGCAGGACCATTGCTCTGGTCAATTGCGGCCCCCCCCTGAGGTGAGAGGACCCCCATGTGACCCCCATGTATGGGGGCAGTTCCCGGTGGCAGCTGAATTGGGGCGTGGTTCCCTGGGTCCGGATCCCAGAAGTGACCGTGGGAAAGTGTACACCACAGGTGGGCCCAGGGCGACCTTAGGAGCATGAAATCTGGGAGTCCTAGAGACAACTGTAGCACTGTGGAGGATTCGAATCAGAATCAGAATGCTGAGGCATGACAATTGTAGAAGCCACTGGGCATGGTGGCGTACGCCCATAATCGCAGCAGACAGGAGGCCGAGGTAGGAGGATCACCATGAGTTCAAGGCCAGCCTGGACTATATAGCAAGACCCTGTCTCAAAAAAAAAAGGAAGAATTGTAAAAACCTGGAAGCCGGACTCAATGATTCTAAGAATTATTATTTTGCCTTTTTGTTGACTTATTTTTAATTTCATTTAAAAAATTTATTTTGGTTTTTTTGAGATGAGTATACCTTAATTTATCTTTAGATGAGTTCTCATACCTAATGCAATGAAATGCTGAGTAAGAAGCTGTGATACTGTGTCATTTAGGGAATAATGACAAGAAAAAAATCCATGCATGTTCAATACAGAAGCATTTTTTTTCTGAATGTTTTCCATCTGTGGTTGGCCAAACCACAGAGGGAGTGCTGTGGACTTGGAGGGGCTGACTGCATGCAGCAGAGCATTGTACCCACCTCTTCCCTGTCCCCTTAGCAGCCAGGACAACTTCCGTTGTACGCAGAGTCCCTGAATTCAGGGCTGGGCAGGGGCTCAGTGGCTGTGTACTTGCCTACCATGTGTGAAGCCCTGGGTTCAGTTGCCAGCACTGAGAAAATAATCCTTATTTTTAAAAAAATATTGAAATGGTCCATAATCCACTGTCCAGCAGTCTGGTCATTTGTTTAATCATCCCTGATGGATGGACATTGGTTTCACATGTCCAGGACATGTTACCTCCTGTTAGTGTCTGGCTAGGCCCGAGGGCTGCTTCCGTAGGCATAGGTGAGGGGATGCAGACCCAGGGAACACAGTCTGCCCTGATGGTGAGGAGCTACCAGCCTAAGTTAGGAACCACAGACAGAATGGAGGCCTCTTCACTGTCGCCCATAGAGCACCAAGAGAGGGCAGGCATACACCTGTAATTCCAGCACTCTGGGAGGCTAAGGCAGGAGGATTGAAATTCTAGCCCAGACTGGGCAATTTAGCGAAATTCTGGCTAAAAGTAAAAAAATTAAAAGGGCCGGGGATGTAGCTCAGTGCAAAAGCTCTGGGCTCCATTCCCAGTACAGAGGCCCCAAGAGACCTCTCTTCCCCCCAAATACCCTAGATTCCCTCAGGCATCTCCACACCTCCTGACATTCCCCTATCCTCCCAGATACCCCTCACCCTCTCAGCCCCCGGATGTCCAGCACCTCGAAGTCCTCCAGCCTCTAAACATCCCCAGTCCCCAACATCCTTAAATCCCCCAGAAACCCCCATTCCCTAAACATTCCACATCCTCCCTGACACCCCAAAACCCAGACAGCTCCCCATCTCCCAGGCATCCTCGGACACTGTTTTGTTTTGAAACAGGGTCTTGCTGTGTAGTTTAGGTTGGTCTTGAACTGGTGGGGATCCTCCTGCCTCAGCCTCCTGAGCCCTGGGATTATAGGTGTGAAGCACCACGCCTGGGTTCCCGTGATGTTTTCCAGCCTCTCGATCTTCCCTGAGCCCCTGACCTTCCTCAGTTTCTCATCTGACCAATCATTTCCTTCACCCCACAAACAGTGTCCACGCAAGGGGGGACTGGTCCAGGCAGTGGGGCTGAGATATTGGGGCTCCCTGACTTTTCACTCTGCTTGATCTCCACAGAGCTCTGGCTGAGCGCCTGGCCAGGGTGGGACCCCCTGAAAGTGAGCCAGCCCGGGAAGCCTCGGCCAGCGCTCTGGACCGCGTGACCCGGCTCTGCCATCGAGTCCTGGCCGACCTGCTATTCCAGGAGCTGCAGGTGTGCAAGTGGCTGGGGCAGGGCTGTGCCAAGACTGCAGGGCGCACCCCACCCTGCAGTCCCTCAGCCTAGGACTTGGTGTTTGGGCAAGGGTGATGGGGGGGGGTGCGGAAGGAAGCAGGAAGTGGCCAAGGGGAGGACAGAGAGCCACCAGCAGGAAGGAGCTGGAGTGGAGCCCTCCTCACTGAGGCCCTGAAAATCTATGTCCAGGATCCCCTTTTCCTGCTCCGAATCCTCAAACAAAAGCCACAGTCCCTGTCCTGGCTTTTGTGCCCCTGCACACCTGCCCCTTTCCCTCTGGCCAGAGCAGCCCCTAGGCCTTTTCGCTTCCAATCCTCCTGCCCTGAATGCTCTCCCACCGCCAAATGCCCCACTTGTCCCTGTCTCACATCTTGACTGAAATGTCACCTTCCCAATGAGACCTTTCCTGATCATCCCAGTTCCCATAGAATCACCTGTAGTCCCAGCCACCCAGGAGGCTGAGGCAGGAGGATCGCTTGAGGCCTGTTCAGGGTCAGCTTGGGCAACGTAGTGAGAACCTGTCTCTAAAAAAGAAGCCTGAGCCCTCTTCTGACTTTCTGCTCTATTTGTCTTCCGTGCACTTGCTGTCACCTGCCATCTACATCCTCGTGTATCTGTTGTGGCACTGTGATGGAGCCCAAGGCCTGGTACCTGCTAGGCAAGCAGTTTTTGGTATTAGTTTTAAATCTGTGTCCTCCCCTTGGAATGTTCCAGTGCAGGGATTGGTTGGAAGTTTTCTAAAATAACTTTTCATTATGGAAAACTTCAGACGTACATAACCCCAAGCAGGCAGAATGACAGAATGACCCCATGCACTCATGGTTCAGTTCAGCAAAAGTCACCTCTAGCTGATCTTGTCTCACCCCCGCTCCCAATTATTTGCCTCTTGTGTGGGACCCGAGATCTCTGGTCACAAGGACCCTGGGTGCCACTACACCACTCCCTCAACCTTCCCCCATGGAATTCTGTCATTTCCTCTATCAGCCTGTATCTCCAAAAGACAAGAAACCTTTTTTAAACAAATATAACCAACTACATCATTTTTGGGGGGTATAGCACAATCCAGTCCAGGCCAGCCTCAAATTCATTACATAGCCCAAGTGGGCATCAAACTTGTAATCCTCCTGCCTCACCCTTCCTAAAGGCTGGATCGAAGGCATTTATCAATGACATTTTATGCCTAACAAATGGAACCATGGTTCCTTGATGGCGTCAGGCACAGATGCCACAGTGACAGCAAACTCCGTGTCCTCAGTGCTGGGCAATAAGCAGGGGACATCTCACTTAATTCTCGTAGCACTCCTGGAAGATGGGTTTAGCAGGGGCTCTGTTCAGCCAAGAGGGGGATTGGGTGAGGCGAGCTGCCAACAGGGCAGGCCTGGCTGAGTTTAGGATCCTAATCTATAAACCACTCTGTTTTCAGAAAGAGAGAGAATAAGGTGGGTCAGGTAGAAAGGAAAGGAGAAAGATTGAGGGACAGCGGGGACGGAAAGAGGGGAACATCAGCGACAGAGACAGGAGAGAGACGGCCTCGCTGGAAGAGCTAGCTGAGGGGGTGGGTGCGGGTTTGAGGGGCTTGTGTGCATGCGCAGGCCGGTGTCGGGCGTCAGACACAGAGGGGCCTGGAGCTGAGAGAGGCTTTTCTGCAGATTACTTCGTGCCCAGCTTTTCCTTCCTTCCTTCCTTCCTCCCTTCCTTCCTTCCTTCCTTCCTTCCTTCCTTCTTTCTTTCTCTCTCCTCTCTCTCTCTCT